AACCTTCTGTTACATAAACCTTGGCAGCTTGCAATGTGTTCAGTATGCACCCGTGACTGTGCTGCTGTATGCCTGAGTGTAGCTCTGCCTCACTACTCGGGGAGTCTAGAAAGGGTGCTTTCCTTGTAAAAAAAAAGTTACTTTAAAAGAAAGCAGTTTGCAAAAGCGCATTCCACTCCCCTCATCATAAACAGAGGCAATAATTTATTGTACAGACCATGACCCATTTGCAAACGCGAATGTTTTGCACGCCGGAGCTCCGTTTCAACTTTGTTTTATTTCAGAAATATATCAAAACAAAAATCTTTGTATAAATAGAGTCACAAATGCAATTTAGTTCTGTACAGCAACATATCAAGAAAACAAAACAAGCATTGGAGTTTGACTCTATCCAAAGAAAGGCCATCTCTTACACTCCCCCCCCCCCCCCCCCCCCAATGATGCACAGCAGGGTTGTTTAAGGGGAACCTTACTAGTGCAAAGGGTCATTCACAGTGGGTCAGCTGTTTGCACAACCAATGTGCAGACTCCATCCTATAAGCGCCTTTTCGCCAACAAACGCTGTCAGTGTGATGGGAGAATATGCATCCATCCTCTGTCTCTCCCACCCCCCATTATTTCTCCATCATTATAACAAAAAATAATACAATCCCCCAACCACGGGTTTAATTCCGTGTGACTATGACAATAGCAGTATCAGGGCAAACAGTGTGCTCATAGCTGCTAGAAGTCCAGCTGCATGAGTTACGTTTTATATCCAACACACACCCACGTTAGCACAGAGACGGAGCCAGAACTCAGAGCCAGAATCTGGAATCTTCCCTGTAGGTCAAGACATAGTCCCATCATGTTTCCAACAGTCCACAAACTTCATTCACCTCCACTATGTGCCCGTACATCCACGCTCAATTTCCATAATTAAATATTCCGTTATTTTATTTACAGCAACACTGTCTAATATGATGCCCAGACTCGTTTTCTTAAGGGGTAACCGAGGAGAAATTTAAATACTGCGTAGGTACTAATTAAAATTGCAGCTTGTTACTGTGTCACCTTAACGTCTGTGGAATGGTCACTTTGAAGTAGTTATAAAAGGCAATAATAATTTCTAGGAATGGACGGACTGGGACAACTTGAGATAACAAGGTGTAGAGCTGGATAAACACAGCAGGCCAAGCAGCATCAGAAACGTCAGCCTTCCTGCTCCTCCGATGCTGCTTGGCCTCCTGTGTTCATCCAGCTCTACACCTTGTTATCTCAGATTCTCCAGCATCTGCAGTTCCTGCTATCTCTGGGACAGCTTGAGTTAGTTCAGGACAGAGCCCTGACGTGAACTCGGTATGTTGCTCAGTCATGCTGTCATGTGCAGCTCCGCACCGGCTGTTGTAACCGTTCAGGAAGACGGTGTGCTGATGGCGTGTTAAAGTCGTGTGACGCGGGGTTGAGAATAACTGAAGTAGGGCTCTTATGGTGCGGCGGTAGCGTCCCTACCTTTGGGCTAGGAGATCCAGGTTCACGACCCACCTGTTCTATAGGTGTGTACTAACATCTCTGAATCAGATCGATTAGGAAAGCTCAAGAATCACTAAGTTGCACCCTGCACATTTTTGGCTAATAAATATAAAAGAGAATGAACAGCAAAGTGGGTAAAGATTAGGAGAATCTGGCAGATTAAAAGATAAAGTTGAACTTGAAATAGTAAATCCTTCTTTCTCTCTTGACAGATGCTGCCAGAACTGCTGAGTTTCTCCTGCATTATTTCAGATTTGCAGCATCTGCATTGTGTTGCTTTTATTAAAAGTTAAGTTGTTGGTTTTCAATTCCGAGTGAAGTTACAAGCACACCTAAACTGCAATCAAGCAAATTTGCTTCAAAGTTTCTTTTGCCTGTAACAATAGCTCCATGTTCACTGTTTCATTTTTAAATACCAACCATAATGTATGTAAAATAATAGTCATAGAGTCATACAGCACAGTAACAGACACTTCATTCCAACCAGTCCACACTGAACATAATCCCAAACTAAACTAGTCCCAGCTGCCTGCGCATGGCCCATATCCCTCCAAACATTTCCTTATCATAATCTTATCCAAATGCCTTTTAAATGTTGTAACTGTACCTGCATCCACCACTTCCTCAGGAAGTTCGTTCCACATACGAACCACTCTCTGTGAAAAAAAGCTGACCCTCATGCCCTTTCTAAATCTTTCTCCTCTCATCTTAGAAATATGCCACCTAGTTTTGAACTCCCCACCTTAGGGAAAAGACCTTTGCTATTTGCCTTATCTGTGCCCCTCATGATTTTATAATCTCTATAAACCTCAACCTCCTGTGCTCCAGAGAAAAATGTCCCAGCCTATCCGGCCTCTCCTTCTAACTCAACCCCTCCATCCCGACAACATCCTGGTAAATGTAATCAATTACAGGGATAAATTAACAGATTTAAAGATATTTTCAATCACAGCAATGGGCTTTGATGTTTGCTGCCTGCTCCCTCAGCTTTTATTAATGTGTTGAAATGAAGGAATAGAGAGTTATATATCCACATTTGTAGTTAGGAGTCACAAAATGTCATTGCAAAGGGATATAGACAGACTGAGTGAGTGGGCAGAATGATGGCTGATGGAGTTCAGTTGCAGGGTCATCCTTTCTCTACAAGAATTAGGAGCGGGAGTAGGTAATCCAGCTGCTCGCTCCTGCTCTGCTATCTAATACAATCATGACTGATTTCATCTTGGCCTCAATTCCACTCTCCTGTCTGCTCTCCATAACCTTTCAACCCATTACTAATAAAAAATTGTCAACCTCCTCCTTAAATTTACTCAATATTACAGCATCCACTTCACACTCTGGTGTAAGGAATTCCACAGATTCATGACCCTTTGAGAGAAGTAATTTCTGTTCAAGTCTGTTATAAGTCTGCTACCCCTTATCCAAAAACTATGACCTCTCATTCTAGATTGCCCCACATGAGGAAAGATCCTTCCTATATCTACTTTGTCAATTCTCTTTAGTGTTTTATAAACCTCAATTAGATCTCCTCAATTAGTTCTTCTAAACTCCAGAGTGTATAAGCCTAAACTGCTGAATCTCACTTCAGAAGACAAACGCTTCATCTCAGGAATCAATCTAGTGAACATCCTCTGAACTGTCTTCAATACAACTGCATCCCTCCTCAAATAAGAGGACCAAAATTGTATGCAACACTCCAGGCACAGCCTCACTAGTGCCTTGTACAGTTATAGCAACCCTTTGCTACTTTTGTACCCAATTCCTTTAGCAATAAATGCTAGAATTTCATTTGCCTTCCTTATTAGCTTCTGTGCCTGCATGCCAGTTTTCTCCAATTCATACACAAGGACACTCAGATCCCTCTGCACCAAAGTATTTTGAAGTTATTCTCCATTTAGATCATTTGAATCAGAGAAAGATAAATGGGACATTTCCCTTCTGGTTAGAGACTAGAAGCCATGCAGGAGCCCTTATAATGTGGAATGTGTGACCTGAGTCATTTATCTTAAATACACAAACAATTTGGACCGTATACCATTCGGCCCCACATGCCTGCCTCACCAGTGAATATGGATGCTCTGACTGTGGCCTCAGTGCCACATTCCTAACAACACCAATGATCTTTGACTCACTCATTAGTCAAGAATCTGTCTACTTCCACCTTAAAATTACTCAATGACCTCGCTTCCACTGCTGTCTGGGGTAGCAAGTTCGAAAGGCCTTCTACCCTATAAAAGAAAGCAGTCTCATCATTTTCATCGTAAGTGGGGGAACCACTCACTTTCAAACTGTGTCCTGTAGTTCTACAGGTAAAACACCATTTCAGCAACATGCCTGTCAAATTCCCTCAGGATGCTATCCTTCTTATGTTCCCCTTTTTTAACCCTTTCATGGGTGTCGCTGGCTGAGCCAGCATCTATTGCCCCTCACTGGTTGCCCTTGAGAAGGTGGTGGTGAGATGCCTTCTTGAACCACTGCAGCCCACGTGCTATAGGTAGACCCACAATTTTGTTTGGATAGGAGTTACAGGATTTTGACCCAGTGACACTGCAGAAACAGCGATATAATTCAAAGTCAGGATGGTGAGTGGCTCGATGGGAGTGTTGGTGGTGTTGTCATGTAGCTGCTGCCCTTGTCCTTCTAGGTGCAAGTGGTCGTGGGTTTGGAAGGTGCTGCCTGGGGATCTTTGGTGAATTTCTGCAGTGCATCTTGCAGATAGTACACACTGTGCTTCAGTGATGGAGGGAGTGAATGTTTGTGAATGTGGTGCCAACAAAGCAGGCTGCTCTGCTCTGATTGTTGTCAAACTTCTTGAGTGTTGTGGGAGCTGTACCCATCTAGGCAAGTAGGAAGTATTCCATCCCACTCCTGCCTTGCGCCTTGTACGAGGCAGATTGGTTTTGCAGGGTCAGGAGGTGAGCTACTCACTGTAGGATTCCTAGCCTCTGACCTGCTCTTGCAGCCACAGTTTTATATGGCTAGACCAGTTCAGTTTCTAGTCAATGGTGGCCTCCAGGCTTGTTGATTGGGGAATTCAGTGATGATAATATCAAAAGCAATGTCAAAAGTAATGGCGAGATTCTCTCTTGATTATTTAATTAGTTACCAATCTTTTGCAGGTCCATTACTTTCCACCATGTTTTTAGTATGCTTTACATACTGTATTGTAAATTGCCCATGGGTATAGAAGGTTTTAGCGAAATCCAGAGCCAGGTCCTCTTCCCTTACTCAGGGGCATGAAAGCTAAGACAAGTATGAGACCTCCTTTAAGAAACCTC